TTCAATTGCCCGGAGTTTCACTTCGTGCCCGGAGTTTCATGGTGACATGCTTTTCTATAGGGTCATGTTTTTCTCAGGTCGTTCGTTGAGGGTAATTTGTTCGCAAATACAGGTCATGTCCCATGTTCAATAGGGTAGGGTTTCGGGTCCAGGTGTTGCACACGCCCCACCCACCTCCCCCATGCCGGACCGCGCCTCTTTGGGCTCCAGACCTCCACCGAAGCTTGGAGAGCATGAGCCCGATCTGTTGCAGAAACCAGAATGGGTTGGTCGACCAGTGAAACCAAGACGAGAGGCTTTGGGTTTGACTCCTTGTGACCTGAAAAAAGGGAGCCAACCTTGAGGTACCTACCATTTGGGATACGAGATACCTAAGTTTCTTCAACCGAACTGTTGGAATGTTAAGAACACCGCCCCCCCGTATTGGGAGTCTAAAACCTCTTCATACATTGGGAGGGTTCATTAATCAACCTTCTACATGGAAACTTCACCAAGGTTGGAAGCTCCAGTTTGCAGGGCTCGAAGATACCCTTTGGGGACCCGGTCCAGATCCTTAGCCAGGAGAAGAGTTCACGGAATAGAACCTGGAAACAGAGAACGAAGTGGCAAAAACACCAAACCTTGCAAAACTCCAAATATTTTGGAAAATGTTTGAGGTTTGGAGGATTGGTGAAGCATGGAAATTCAGCTGGCCACGAGTTCGTGTGGGGATACAAAGATGTTCTCTCTCCTGCCTGCAGCAAGTTTGTAACATAACCCTAGCCTTTCAAGACCATTTTAGAAATGGTGGAGCTGGTTTTGTAGTGTAAAATCCATGGTCAAACAATGGTCGTTGGGTAAAGGCTGTTAAATCAATGGCAGGTGGAACACTAGGGAGAAAGTACTTAGCCCACAAGCTTCAAGAAAGACATCCTCTCGTCCACTCAACTCAACCACCTATGAACTGGCACATTGACGGGGTATGTGTTCATTTGGGCTTGCCCCACCTACCCCGCCAATACTTCCCCTATGTTGTCACCAGGGGTCACAAACTAGTTTATATTGGATATCGAAAAAGGTCTGTCAGAATTGCATACAAAAATGATCATGCTTGACGGGGAGAAACAATACCTGGATCTTCAAACGGCACAAATTTTTGCCGGAGGCATTTTTTAGTGAAAAGACGCCGTAATCAAAAAAACATGCCGTTTTATGGGTTGTACAAAATCCATGGACGGGGAAAGACGCCGTTTGGACGCCCAAAGACGCCGTTTGGACGCTTAAAGACGCCGTTTCTTTTTGCTTTCTGCCGGCGTGCGCCTCGTCACAACAAAAAACGCCGTCTTTGGAAAAAGACGCCGTAACGGCATTTTTTCCTGAAAAGGCAATTATTTGTGCCGTTTCCAAGATCCAGGTATAGATTACGCATACGTCCAATCGCATGCACTGCGATGCAAAACAGTGAACGTGCAGATGCCGTCAGATTCTCGTTATTTTTTTGTTTTCACACTCAGGAAGTTCCATGTCTAGATTTGTGTTCACCTGAAAACATTTACAATGGGTCCGGGTAGATGCTTCCCTTCACCTTTGAACAAGTCCAAACGGAGCCAAGACAGCCCTCTCCTCGACCTAATCCACCTTGCACAACCAAAACCCACTTCACCTGAACCAACGCACGCACCAACACGTGCCAACCCCAATCTGGCCGCTTCTTCTCGCGCAGAAGAAGTGTGTACACTTCGCACCTCACTGCCTCAAACACCGCACCGCCGGTGCCGCCACACCGTGCTGCGAACGGCAGATGCTGCCCTTCGAGAAGCTGCGCCCGGACAGCGCTCGGCGGGAGTCGGAGCGTGGCACGCCACGGGAGGTGCAACGGCTGCCGCTGAACGACCTGCGACGGACGCCCGGAGTTGACGACCGGGACGGGTGGCGGTCCGGGTGACGGCCTGGTTGCTACGGCGCAAGCTGCGCATACACGGAAGCGTGCTGACTGGGGCGTGGTTTTGGTTCCTTTTTTGCGGAGGATGTAGAGGTGTTCCCGAAGTGGGTCAATTCACTTTCTCTCAATGAAAAAAGGTCTTAGGCGGCTAGGGACGATGTTTTCCCTACTCAAAGGCTCAGAAAGGGCACTCAGTTTGCTAGGGATTTGACCTTCACAACTTTTGGATCCGTCCAATATGTTGCATTTTGAGGGTTCATGAGCCTTTGGGCCATTTACAGCTCCCCTTTCTGTGAATAGTCTTGGAAGGCCAGGGACCTGGTGTTCCTTGGGGTGATGTGTGTTTTGCCTTAAGCCTGTAGGTAAATCATCGTGGGATACACTGCCTGGAATCCTCATTGGTATTATGCCTTATTCGGATTTCCTGGTCATCCTCACTCGGGGCCAAGCCATTCGCTTCCGATTCCAACCCACCACTCCCAGCAGGTACCAGGGTACCCTGATCCAAGATCGTCCTCCAAAAGAAATCCTCTACCAGCACCACTCGAATTCCAGGTCTCCGACATGGTGACGACCCAAAGGTGGCGGAAATGGTGACCTATTGGAGGCTGCCAATATCTTCCCTAGCGCTCCAACTACCTCCTGAGAAGGTGTTTGGGGTGGGTTTGGGGGGTCTAACCACCTTCATGGTTGGAGTCCTATAGGGCTTATCCTATCGTCAGCGATCGTCGGACCAAACCCGTTCGCCTGGTTTTGATAGACACCCCTTTCTCAATCACCTCTGACACGAGGCTATTGATAGACACCCTGTTGGAGTCGAGTCGGGTCCTGATATTTGATTCGATGTTGGTGCCTTCTGTCTTCTTCCAACGATGCAAATCCCAGGAACGAGGACATGAGTCCTGTCCGGAGCCAAAAGGGAGCTGGAGACAGGGACGTTTGGACAGAAGGACGGTGGTCCCACTGGCCAGGTACTCCTAGCCTTCAAGACCATTTGTAAAATACTTTACTTCGGGTGATCCCCACCATGACATTTCAATCTGACAAATCTTCTGGCATGTGTTGCAACATATTGACGCATTATGTTGGCATTCTTTCCGGCATATCTTCTGACATTCTTTGAAATATGTTTGCTGGCATGGCATATCTTCTGACATCTTCTGACATTCTTTCTGGCATATCTTCTGACATTCTTTCATCTGACATTCTTTCTGGTATATCTTCTGACATTATTCATCATTTTCTTTCTGGCATCTCTTCTGACACTCATTCTGGCATTCTATCTGGCATATCTTCTGACATTCTTTCTGTCATCTTTTTACATTCTTTCTGACCTTCTCTCTGGCATATCTTCTGCATATGATCTGACATTCTTTCTGGCGTTCTACTTGTCATATCTTCTGACTCGCGGTTGAGGTCCGGCGGGGAGCACTGCCAGCCGGAGCTTGCGGTTGAGGCGTGGCGCGGAACGACGCGGCCTTCGCGGTTGAGGTCCGGCGGGGAACACTGCCATCCGGAGCTGGTGGACACTGCCAGTTGGAGCTGGCGGTTGAGGTCCGCTGGTGGTGATGGGATCGTACACGAAGTGGATGATCCTTTCTCTGTAAGTCTTAGCTAAACAAAGCCAAACAGACGGCTTCTTGAGCTGTTAAAAGATCAAAGCCAAATTTGATTTTGAGGTGAAAAATTGAAGAAATTAAAATGGAGGGTTTTGAGAGTGTTCGCGAACTCGATTCGATCACGTTCGAGATTGTCGTTTCGAGGACACGTCATTAGGTCTTGCGACCGCGCCGCTCCATCAAGGTGTTCAATGCAACACCCGTGGGTGGGGGCCAACAGAGGCCGTCCATGGGTGGGGTGGTTCATGACATGAACAAACAATATGTTCGATGTTCATGAAACATATTTCTAGAACACCTTCAAATTTTTCACTAGATGTTCCTTTAGCGGTACCCTCCTGCGAACGGAGAATGCCGCAACATGTTGACATCTCACCTGGCTAGTGTTAAACGAAGATCTTTTTCAACATGTCTAGCTCGCGGGCCGCGACGATGGAGGACATCACACGTCTAGCGTTTGCAGTCCGCCTCTGTTTACAGGCCCACAAGGATGGGCTCGTGGAGCAGAGAAACACGTTGCAGAACCAGATCGACACATTGTCTGATCTCGAAGAAGTCTGGAGTCGCTTGTTCCTGACCTTGTCATCGACATCTTCATCTCGTGGTGGCGCCCGCGAGCGCAGCAGATCCAGGTCCCGAGCCCGAGAATGAGGACCTCTTCACACTTTGGCCTTGAGCTGGTTCTATCAGTATGGCTCTCATCCTGTACTTGGATTTGTTGTTGTTGCTCTTAGGTATGTTATAACAGAACTTATATCAAGTTATGGCTCGTTAAAGATCAATCGTGCAGCCTCAACTTATAACCGAACTTATAAGTTCTCCACGTTGCCTTTTACGTTAACTTTTTGGGCCGTGACTTTTCAATGGCGTTTTGCAATATTTTTTGGCAATGTGACGGCTGACCGATATCGCCCACCGCTCACCGTTCTCTCTTTCATGAACACACCGGCGCCGCTCCGCTCAACATGGTTTCTGCAAAAAAATCACCGGGATTTTCCATGGAATCGTCCTTTGTATATATGTTCGCCACCCCAAATTCCAAAAAAATCAACAACCTACGGATAAAACAGTTTTTGGAAATGCATGGATGAGGCTCGCCCTCCCTGATATTTTTGAGTTTGGTTTCCGAGGCTCGCCCGGGGCGTGATTCTCCTATAGTCGCTGCAATCCATTTTTGGATGCGTGGTGTTAACGGAAAAGTGGATTCATGCACACTTCCCATATTAGCATTGAAAAAATAATACGATATGCAAGAACTTAAAGTAAAACATGCTGATGGTTGCGCTATGCTTGGTGAATTTTGTGCACGCACCGTGGTTGTACTGGTTTTCATAAAAGCATGAAGAATCAACCGAATCAACGCACATTTTTTTTTCACATCATCTCCTGTTGCGTGTGCACATCTGGACTTTGCCCCTACAATTTCCAGCTAAACACACAGCAGGGCGAGCCACTGCAAATCAATTTGCAATCTCCTCGAGGTACCCCACCACTCGTTTCCATGTACTTTTGGGATCCTCCTTCTTCCAAGAAAAAGCTCGATCTTTCTTGTCCCCTGTTTTCTTGACGCGCCAACTTTGGCTGTTGGGACACGTGTAAATTGTGGCCTCCTCCAAGTGATAGGGTTTCGCTGCCTTTGTCCCAGGGAACTTCATAGAACTCAGAGTTTTGACTGTTTGTGCACTGCCAGCGCTCTTGGTTTGAACTGGTTTGGTCTTGGCTTTGGCTTTGGCTTTCGCTTTGGGTTTGGACGTTTTGCTCTTGTCCCCAGCTTTGTTCATGTCCAACTGCTCACGAATGGCAAGTGCCATGTCATCAACTGATCTGGGTTTTGGTTTTTCTGATCCATTCGTTTCACAGTGCAATTCCATCTCCACCTCAACCGCCTTTGGCAAACCATCTTCAGGAATGACTTCAGTGACTTCAGGAGACACTGTTGTTTTGCACTTTTTGTCCTCAGGACCATCAACAAAACCATCTTCCAAAGCCAAAGGTTGCTTGCCTCTCTTTTTGAAAGATTGTCCATTTCCAAAAATGGTTAGGGCTTCTGGCTGGCTTCCTCCAGACCCACCCATAAACCTGTCCAAAAGCGCATTGCAAAGGATATCCCGCAAACCATCATCACGGTGTGAGGAACGCAATGAAACACCAGAATGCCCCGCTCGTCGAACATCACCATGCGTCTCCCTGCATGGAAAAGACATCGCTAAAGATTCTATAGTATCAATGTCCAAAGGGCACGCCACAGGTTGCGCATTGCAATACGCAGTTTGTTTGATGGCATCAGGCAAACCTTTTGGGTCGCTCGGATAAACTTCCAAGCCTGAATGCTGCCCCTTTTTGCTGCCTGACTTGATGACCGTTTTGACATCCCTGAGGACCCTAAATGCCTTCCTTGTATCAATCTGAAAAGTTTCTGGGGGCCCATTGTGGGCAGCCAAATGAAGAATGACGTTGGCAAGTACATATGTGGGTTCTGTAGGACATGTGAGCCCAATGAACTGGCACCTGTTCTTCAAGATTTGGAGCTTTGCGTTCAAGCCTTGGGTTTCACTTCTCATCACTCCCCATTCCTCCTCTGTGAAGTAGTGGAACAGGTGCAAGTTCCTTTGCAAAGGTTGTCTTTTTCCTTTAGCAGGTTCCTTCTGATTGGTCTGGTCGGCCAGAACCTTGTCCTGCACTGCCCGCAAGACCTGCTCCCTCATCCAATATGGGATTGAAGCAGCAGTGACCCAGTTCACCATCTCTGTCCCTTCTGTCATCTCGATTTTGGGCCCCGTCACAAAGTCTTGGAGGCAGCCTTCCACCAGGCGCTGTTGTTGCTCCATTGACCGCGGGGCATCCTTCAAACCACTTAGGCTTGACAGAAAGGAAAGCAAGTCTTTCAACCTTTTGGACGCCATGCGTCGTGCGTTTCCCTGGGAAATGAGGCGAGCCTTCACTTTAGCCACCTGTTCATTGAACATTGGGAAATGGCAGCAGCATCGACAGAAGCATTTGCATACTATATCCTGCGGTATCAAACTGTTTAATATTGCAATAGATTTCGCTCAAACCAAAGACTACAATGTCGAAAGAATGACTCCATACACAGATCTGAATTCAGAAGACCCCACCCCATCACATGAGCTAAACAATGATCAAAATACCCGCACAAGAAACAAACATGTTTTCAGCACGCCATCCTTTTGGCGAAGACTCAGCTAGCAATGCCCACGCCGCTGCCATGATCAAGAGGATGACGATCCAATCCAACGGTATCGATTCTTCGAACGGTGCCCGATGGATCTCTTTGTCCCACCCTTTGTGGTTCCCTTTGCTTTTGGATTTCGGGCCTTTCGCTTGGCACTTGCTGCTTTCGTTTTTGCTTTGGCTCTCGCTTTGCTGGCTGCTTTTGTTTTGTTTTTGGCCTGTGTTTTGACTGCTGCAGGCCTCTTTTTTGCAATGCCTCGTGCCAGTGCCCGCATGGAATCAGCTTTGCACGCCTCCATGAACTCATCAAACTTAGAACAATCTTGGGCGCCCAGCGAAGTGGAGGATCGGGGCACGGTGCCCAGATTTGGTCTAATCTCCATCAATAGTGGAGCCACAACAGCAATGATGAGTGGTACCGGATATGCGTTCCCAGCCCCTTTGATCCTCAGCGCATCGCTGCAGTCATACAGCGTGTCTGCATCGAACCACTGCAGCAGCATGCGTTCTGTCGATGACAAAAAGCGGAAAAACTTGCGGTCTTTCTCTGGCATCTCAAGGTCAAGCGAAGCAAGAAACAAATACTTGTTCGTTGTCGTCAACGTCGGCACGATGTTCTTGGAGAACCTGCGAACATAGACCTTTCCTTCCGCTCTGTCCAATGGAAACACAATGATGTCGCTGGAAACCGCGTCTCCCTTTTTCATCATTTTGTTGATTGCTGCCATAGCATCGATCAGATTCTGGCGCATAACATCCGTCAACGTGGATTTGTCCACGGATGGCAACTTGGGATCTAGGAAATCAACCAAAGGCTTCTTTCCAAATGGGTCCAGGGGTTCTGGCACCGTTCCTTTTCCAACTGTTCTCCGCAAGCCTCTGAGGAAGACTCTGGTCCTTTGCTGTGCAAGCATGTATTGTTCAGCCTTGAGGCTAACAACTCCCCAGTCGAACTCTGGACACTCATCTTTGACGTTCTCCAAAACGCAGGCTTTCAAATCACCTGATTTGATGAGGACCAGCACCATTTTCATGACACTTAGGAACACATCGGCCCTGCTATCTTCTTGGCCCTTGTGACATCCGTTCCCTGCCCAAGGTGGGCAGGGTGGACCAGAGATTAGTAGGTCCACCGGTCGTTCGATGCTGCCAAGATCAGCTTGGCATATATCGCCATCAATGCTGCCCAAATGGAGGTCGCAATCTGGAAGGTGTTTCTCCAGGTGTTGCTGGTATCGACCCTCCAGGTCATAGACATTGTTTGCACAAAAAGGCACCTGCAAGCACTTCAATGCAAGTCCAGCACCGTCGATGCCGACACATGGAAAGCTCACATGAAGCTTCCGTGACCATTTGCCAAGCTTTGGGACCACCTTACTCCAATCATTTGGCCTTGGAAATTTCGATTGTTTTGGGGCCATCCTCCAAGGCTGTATTTGCGGGGGGCGAGCCTCCCAAAGTCTTCTGGATAGCTGTTTCCCTTGAGCAGAAATCAACCACACGCATAAGCCAAGTTAAACGCAACTCAGTACTTGATGACACAATGTTGAATGATGAGAGTATCAATCAATGACAATCAAAGAGAGTATTTTTTTGCAAACCCCATTGCTGATCGTTCAAGTTGTTACTGAGCCGCAAATGCATTGAAAAACGCAATCTGCAACCAGCTAATTAATAGCACAGTAAATCATTCAAAGGCAGTGTTCTCACTGCAATGCAATCAAGCAGCCACAGGACTCTGTGGACATGTGACCGCATCCACATCAATCACAACAACACTGTTTGAAGCAGTTGATGTGTCTGCTGTTGATGTTGGCGCAATGGGTTCGTCCTCATCTGATTCGTCTGTTAGTCCATGGTAGACCTTGCAGAAATCACACCGACATGTATACAAATGTTGATCGTCTTCCCACCACCCAGGGAACATGGCGTCAAGATCAACCTTTCCTGCTTTGGGTTTGTTTTCATTGACATCCTTGTTGGTGTCTGTAGCGGTCTCCTCAGCTGATGATGATGATGATGATTCCTCTTCCCCCAATATAAGTGTTCTCTTTCTCAGCAGGGCCTCAGGGTCTTCACGTTTCCTCTTCGTAGTTTTGGACACATTGCCACTCGAATCAGTCATGGGATCTGACCTTGGAGGTCGAGCCTTCCAATTTGTTTTGTGCAGGCTGATTCCTTGCACTTTCCCTGAAGCCAACATCGCGCAACCATATATAAATCAGCAAGCCTGCCCAATGTAATTATAATGTTGCTCGTTTCGTGTTCAACTGATTGGTCGACCCCAAAACTGTTTTGAGATAGTGAGATGATTCAATCATCCGTCACATGCAGTGTACAGTGTATGATATGATTGCGTTTGATCCAAACACATTTCATGCACATTGCAAAATTTGGTATTCTGATGACTGACAGTGTGTTAAATTTCATGTGTGTACTATTTTCAATTGGAAACAGTGGCCATGTCAGGGGCCTGTGATGGGAGGGTCGTGGGGTGGCGGGGGAGGGGGGGTCCCTGACATGCCCCTGACACGGCCCTGACACGGCCCTGACATGGCCAGTTTTTGATGTTGTATGAAAGCAAATGATTGGATGATTTCCTGAATGATTTTATTTTTTTGCAATATGTTTTTTGTGCGTGTGTGTGTGGTTGTTATTGATTTGACATTTGTTTATAGCATTATCAATGTGATTCGTCATGATCTGCAAAGCCACATTTGCAAACAAGTTCAATACACCTTTGGCTTATTGCAATCAACGCACTTGATGCACGTTCATTTCCCCATGCAGCGCTGAGTTGCATCACAATTTTAGCCGGTATATCATCGGCCCCCATTGAAATTTCACTTGTGAGCACCTAATGCATTTAAGAACGCAATGTGCCAAAATGATCTCTTCCATCATCCCATCAAAATTATTGCCGGGCGAGCCTCGGCACTTTTGCCCTCACTTGTTGAATGCCTCTGCAGCATCCAGCTGAGCCTTCAGACGGGAAGTTGCCTCCACGATCTTGTCCACTGCCTCGTCCAATAAGGTCAGCAAGTGACTGGCATTGCCTTTTCCAGTGTCCACACTGTGCTTGACAGTCTTGAAAACATCTGGCTGCTGGCAGGCCTGCGCAGCTGAGACCACGTATGAGGGTATCATGTCTCCAAACTTGACGCTTCTCTCAACCGCATCTTTCAGCAAAGTATCCTTGGCATTTGCCATCTCCAGCTTCTTCAACAGCTTCTTCTTCTCTCCTGCTTTCAACTTGGGCTCTTCACCTTCTGTGTTCTTATCCTCCTGTCCCTTTCTTGGTTTTCTGGGCGGCTTTTTTGGTTCTTCATCTTCCTTGAGGGCTGTTTGTGCTTTGCGTTTGGTGCTGGTGCCAAGTTCCTCAGTGTCTTCAACCTTCGCATTGTACTTGGGATCGGCAAACAGCATGACCTTTTTCACTGGGCAAAAGAAGCGTCTTCCATTCAGGAGTATGTTTTCAGCCACGTTTGGCCGATCAACATACTTCTTTCTCACTTCAATCTCGTCCATAAACTCAGCGTCCTGTGTGAACTTGTATGTTGTCGTTGCTGTTTTCCAGTCGGTGACCGTTTCTTCAATCTTCATGCGAAGGTCTTCACCCCTGAGGTTAGAGAAATTGCTGTAGAACTCTTGCAAGCGGTCACCTGAAACAGACGTGAATTCTTTCACAAGATTGCCGTGACGGTTTGCCAACCGCTGGATGGCACCACGCACATTGTGGCAACTGCGGCACCTGCGAGCCTCTGGAGTCTTAACCGATGCTCTGACAATGACTAAACTGTTCTCCGGGTCAACGCGTTTCTTGCAAGTGCAGCAGTGATCTGATAACATTTCATCAGCTGTGCACATTGAAGCATCCCCACCATCGAACTGACTGTCGCTTTTGACATCCACCTGAGAAGGGGTTTCAACCATGTCGATCAATGAAAAGGGCGAGCCGTCCAATCGCTGAAAGAGGCGAGCCTTCTAATCACTGCCAAGCCTAGAAATGCTACATGCACAAAAACTTTTGATGCCATAGCAGCGTTGTTGTCGTGTCGTTTTCTTATAGACGCGTTCATTCACTTGATACTTACAATATAATATATCACAATATCAGCTCAGAACCCTAAGTGCTGTGAGATCTCAATGAACTCATTCCACCCTCTCAAACCATATCAGCAATGTTTCCCTTCTTCACGCCGGTCGGATCAATTTGCGGCAAGCTTTAGTCTGGGACATTGCCAGGACATCCTCATTGTGCAAGCATGCGTGCAATAGCCCGGAAGACCTCACAATGTAGTGTACTGATCTAAAATCAGACTCCCACATCAGCAAAGTTTCCATAGAAGATCCTTCAAACAGCGCCCCTTCCTTATGATCGTGGAAGTTTGCTTGAACCATGAAGGTGCACTCCCCTGACATCAAGGTGACTTCCACAAAAGCAAGTGGGACAAAGAGTTGTTGCCTTTGGGGGGCAAACACCACATCCCCCAAAGATACCCTCCCAGTTTGTGTCACCAATCTTCTTGCAGTCTTGACGCACACAACTTCAACACTCCAAAAAGACAGCATTTCAGCACCCTGCGCAATGTGACGCACTGACCCATCCAAATGGGTATGTTTACACATGTTGCAGTCACCTTTGTCAAACGCTTGTAAGGTGTCCCAACCGATCCTCATTGAGATATGGTGCATCAAACTGGTGAAATTGTGCACATGGCTTGCTACTGCCTTGACTGCTTGATGCTTGCGCTCAGGACAGAAGCAGCTCATGTTAACTTGAAACTGCTCTAGGTTTTCTGGTATATGAAAGAGCCAATGGAACTTTGGCTTCGCGCAATTTGGGTACAGCTTGCAAAACATCTCATTGTGGGTTGAAATTGCGCGCTTCAACTGAGGAAGGAACTGCAATGCTCCCTTGCCCTTGCTCAAGATGTCAATAATGGTTGCCAACTGCTGGAAACAAAGCCGGTGGTCCCTCAAAATTCCCAAAGGTTCCAAAACCAGACTGTTGAACAAGGTCATGGCAGGTATGGCCGTCAACAGCTCACCTGCAAAGCACCGTAGGTGCGTGTCATCGTCTTTGCAAATGCGTTCTGCAAAGAAACACTTGGGAAGCTTGGTAAGGGCCTTCGGAATGCACACACCTTGTTGAAAAGAGTCCAACTGGTCCAGGCCAACGTTGTTCAACTGAAGGACTTTCAGATATTCGTTCATCTCGTACTGACCAAGTCCCCCGCTAGCAAGCAAAATGTGCATCCAGTCAAAAAACGTTTGACTGGTTGGATCAACATAATGTTTCAAGCTGGGATGCCAAAGAATCCCAGCTTTCTTGTACACCAGGCCGTAAAGCTGCCCCATTTTGTCGCACTCTTTTCTGTTCCCAGACAGCGCTTCCAATCCATCCCTCATATGCTGAAATGAAGTTGAGCTATGCTTTGCAAACCTCGACCCGTCAGAGCATGCATAGTGCACAAGCCATGTGTGCCCAGCCACATTCTCTCGCTTCATGTGGCCGACGACGTTCTGGCAAAGGCAGCATGGTTTTGTTCCCGCTGCGCCTCTTAGGCACCACAATTGACTAAGTGCTTTCTCATCACTGAGAACTGCCTCCAAGCCCCCTTGGCATAGAAACATGCCAGACGTGGAAGAGCACGGGAAGCCGGTGGTAAAGTTGAATGGATCTTGCAATTCCAAAAAGCATTCCATCATCCGTGCGAACAGGTAGCTATAGCCACCCTCCACATCCTTCACTAATTTTGTTGGAAACGCTGCAAAATAGAACCATCCATCTGTTTTGGATCGGTACCAGCTGGGGAGTCCCATCAGGGTCCAGTACCACATTGCAACACTTCTGGAGTGATCAGGACGCAAGACGTTTCCAGGTTTTATTTCATCCATGTATATGCGAATGCGAGCTTTGCCTCCACCCTGCACCAAATCACCCAATCTTGAACAGCGCTTGGTCAACTCGTGGAGCAAAGAAGCAGGATGCAGAAAATACCAATCAATGGCATCATCCCTCACCTGAACT